AGCTTCACCACCAATAACCAATTTCTTTTCTTTCTCTGATTCTTGAATAGTCAAGGAAATGTAGAGGATTAGTTTGTGGTCACAAATTTTTTGAGGTCAATGTGAAACAAGCCTATTTCACATAAATATAAATCAAGTGAATGAGGTATATGTTTGAATAAATATGTTGTGATTTGCAGAAAGATACCACACAACTCCTTGTTATGGTAGGAATAAGTAACTGACATTAGCTAATAGCAAATGAATGACCTAGTCAACTGATCAACTTTCCGATTATTAGGTGACTAACGTGTAGTGTGTAATGCACCAAGGATCGCAAATTGTGATGTATCTTATTTCAGTTGTCCTACAATTTATGGCCAAGTTAAACTTTAAGCAGCACTAACTAGCAATAGAGAGCGACCACACCGACAACCTTGAAACACTCACTAAGCAAGTTAGTGAAACCTGGAAAATAATGCTGTCATCATCAATAAAATGTCCTCATCGCAGTACTTTGTTATTAAATGGGATACTGGCAAGTTTCAGCTTAGGTTTGGGAAAGATTGAGTTACAGTTCAGGCCAAGGACAAGTTAGAGTTAGGTTAACCTACTAAAGGTGACATTAAGGTTACTTGAATTTAGATTAACGTTAGTTTAGGCATATTTTCACGTTAGGGTTATGTTCAGGAAAGAACAGGGATATTGTCAGGATTAGAACACCCAAATGATTACATGCATAGAATGTGGTTAAATTACTTGCTTGTGCAACCAAGTACAGGAACTCAACGATACCATATTTGGCTCATGTTCTGAGTGACAGAGACAATGTTAAGCGCGAAACCTATGACTTGCTTTGTTGTTAATAGCATAATTTCGGCTCTTTTTATTTCTTTCTTATTTTTATTCTATATTAAACACCCTCTTAAACATACTTAGCTACCTAAATTAATAACATTGGCTTACTTTTTGTACCTTATTCTATTCCTTCTTTTGTGTATCTACTGGTTCCGGCTATATTATCACTATGATTATTACGAAATTGTCCTGTCATTAACCATCATGTTATTTTAGTTTTGTGGTTGTTTTTTGTTCCGCAATATTAGCTGACAAGCTTGGCTGTGAACGCCATTATCACCATCTTAAAATTTTGTATTATGCAGGATTACTCACACTACGACTACAAACGACAATAGTATAATTCCATTGTGGATAAAATTTATTCTGATAAAGTCTCACAGTGTTATACAGTAATATATACTGATGACAACTTTTCGAGCACAATCTTTGCTCAGGAAATATTACTGTATTACACTATTGGATTTCATCAAAATAAATTTTACTCACAATGGAATTATAATCTGTTGGCACTCCAACTTAGAACTGAGAGCTATTTTAATCACATGTGAGGGGAAGGTATCCTCTGTAACACTTTGATACAGTTTTTATGCATTTCTCTTTCATAATATATATATTCGATACACAAAAATGCCTCTGCCACGTGATTGGTGCCTCCGAGGTCATTCGCTCATTGGTAGTGAGTGGTGCTTACAGTTTAACTTTGCCCAATTTACCACCCATCAGTAGTAAACATTACTGGATGACGGCCATATAGGCAGATGTACTCACTTATGAACAACATTCTACTCGAGATCATGATAATTAGGGTGCATAGATTGTAAATATCATCAGTGATTTACATCAGTCTCACTGATGAGTAGACAATATCAGTGTACTTCTAAGAAGTTTGAGTCTTTATTGAATTTCTCATTCGTTCACAGACTGTTCACTAGCCGGCCTCAAATCACGAGAAGAGATAAGGTTGGACGTCAGTCATACTAGCGATTCTTAACAACAAATGACAACGTCGATTCTGAAGCTACAGAGCACAGAGGGAAATCAATAAGACAACTAAGTTTGACGATGAATGACACTAGCCAGTGAAAGCCTTTGCGTCGATGTGCATTGTTGCTTTTACCACTCAGTTTTAAATAGAACAGAACGGGATGCAGCTAAATTAGTGGGGAAGCTGACTGCAGTCCACCTTTATTATCAGTGGTAATGTGATACCAAGATAACGTGAGAAGTCACAGAGGATACTCAAAATAGAAACATGATATGATCTTACCTGAGAAGTCTCTTGGATCACATTCGTAGTATGGGTACCAATGCTCCACATAATTATTGGCAAAGATACGAAAACATGAGGAAAGTATAACTCGATAGCCGGCTGATGTTATGTTCTTGACACGCTCTTGCCTTTGCGAATCATTCCACACTTGGAACACAATATTTCTCTCCTTCTCTGGCTAAATGAGAAAATTTCGATAATTGATTAGCATAAAAATAAATTTTGAATTTAATTTGATTGGTTCATCTTGTAAGATATGATGATAACGTAATTTAAATTTAAGACAATGGAGTGGAGATGACACATCAGCTGTGGAAGTATTTATATGGAGCAGATCTGCACCCTTCTCTCCATTGCTTGCTTATATACAAATATTTTTACAAGGCAGACATATCAAATGTTTTACTCAAGAGTGAATAGTACTCAGTGACCTCAACATCTTCCGCGTCGGAATAAAATCGAAGAGTTCTTTTGTACTAACTGAGCTATTTCAATCCTCACTTCTGTAGAAAATAAAGACGAGATGGGCAACCTCTTCAACACATCTCCTAGTAAAAGGAGATGCATGCATGCCTCTGTGATTCTCATTGCTCTCAAACTGCAGACGTTAACAGTAAAGGAACTAAGAGTAAACGAATAAGCACAGATCTGATCATCTTCAGAATGTTTTGTGTGAAGAGACTGTTTATCACTACTCTTTTCCCTGTTCAAGTATCTGACTTTGAAAGGTTATATTCTATTGTTATTATTTCCTTGCGTTCTAAATGGAACATAGGTCTACAATAACACATCACCACATTGCTTCATTCTCTGCTGTCTTCTACACAGCTGGGTCCACAATTTCTCATATTCTCTCGTCTTCTCCTCTTCAACACACGATCTCGTGAATATCACCTTCTCACCGACCACCCACTCGTCGCTTGCCATTCGGGTTCTACTCGAGCGATGGTCTACATTTCGTGCGATGTCATTCAACGACCTCCTCAGTGATACATGCCCCATCAATGCATTTCCACTTTCACCTACATATTTCTTGAGCAATCAGCTCTTGCCTGTTGCTCTGTTCCCAAAGTTTCTTGTTGCTTATTCTTTCTGGCTGGCCATTTGTTTTTTTAGTATGGAGCCAGCCAGCTGCTGGTAAAATTCTGCGACAGGCTGTTAGATATCTTTTTGTGACACGTAGCGCACGTTTCTGAGCAGTATAGAATGACTGACTTCACTTCAGTTTTGTGTTCTTTAAGTTGTGGAGTGCACAAGATTTCCAAACTGGTCTCAGATGGATGAAGGCGTATCTCGCCTTTCCAATTATGGACAAATTTGACATCTTCATCCGTCCCGCCTGCAGTTGAAATGATGCATCCTGGCTGGATAAGTGAAGGAGGCAACCTCTGTTAAATATCTCTCATTGTTGGTGATTGGTGCTGGTTATTGTTGTTGCTGCTGATTAGTTATGTTCATCACCTCCGTGTTCTCTGTGTTCACCTGCAGTCCTGTTTTCGCTGTCACTTCAGCCAGTTTGTTGGTTTTCGCCTGCAAGTCTTCGAGTTTGTGTGACATTAGACATATATCATCCGTGCACGAAACCCAGATCTTCTACAGTCTTGTTAATGGTCGTCCAGTGTATTCCTGTTGACTCGCTCCCAGCGCACAGCCTGATATATAATCCAGTCTGAAAGGCCAATTGAACACACTTAAAATGAACGAAATCCTCATATTTCAATCTACTGTTAAGCATCAGCAGACACACGAAAACAAGTACGCAATACATATTTTCAATTCAATAATTGCTTCCGCTTCGCCTGATTAAGTACACTTCACCATTTTCTATAGTTCACCTCATATCCAAAAAGTATGAACTTCAGTGAAATTCAAATAGATGATTGCCGTCTAACAAGAAAAGCATCGGTGATTTTCTTCAGTAACGGTCAATACATGTTTCGGAATGATCATCACAGCACGAGAGACCAGTGGAAATGAACTTTACGTTCTGAGAACAATGGCCTAATTTCTTTAACCTATTACTTGCAGTTTTAGCAACGACTATGAAACACAAACAACAGTTATACATCTCATCCAACAGTTGTACGACAATGCTGCATGCCAAGTAATCCACAAAGGGAAACTCACAGAATCCTTCGAAGTGAAGACGGAAGTAAGACAAGCTGGCTGGCTGGCTGGCTGCCTACTATCTCCAACGACTTTCCTGATCAAGGTTGGTAGGTTGGATAATGCGACAGACAGCCCTACACAGCATGAAAATCAAGATTCGGATTTTCGACTCCAATGTGAATTCAGTGCTCTTAAACGGATCACAGATTTAAAACAGCGCGTCATGAACGGCACAACGAACAAACTACAGATCTTCATCAACAGCTGTCTTCGCTCAATACTACTCAAGATCAGATGGCCGTTCAGAACAGATCAACAACAGGGAGAGATCTCTGTGAGCGAACCAACCAGGAATCGATTTTGCAAGAAATATATTAGAGGAAATGGAGGTGAATTGGCCACACTCTGAGAAAACAAACCGTTAGGTATCATCACACGCCAGGCCATTGCTCTAGTGGAACCCGAATTGTGAGCAATCAGTGGGCCATCAGTCTGAGGGTGGGTGATATGGGGGAGAAGATGTGAATGGGAGATGAAAGCATATGGGCAGACGTGGAACCAGATGAAAACGTTGGCAGAGAACCAAACGAAAGCCCTATATTCCTCTATAAATTAAAAAAATGATAATAATAATAAAACGCAATATAATTTAGGCTATTCACATTGCAAATTATTTAATATAGATAATGAACAATCTAAAGGAACAATCAAAAGGAACGCGAAAGTATCTATCAAAAACCACAAACTGTTAGTATTCTGAAAAGTAAGATGATCCACCTACACGATAGCCATTCTCGAATGCGTCCTCCCAAACAACTGGTGTGATAGGACCCCTTTCCTGTTGAACAGATTGAATAGCTGTGATAAGTTCGTCAAAATAATATGATTCGAGTTTTCCAAAGTCGTCGCCGAAACGCTGCGTCTCCATGAATTTCACAATCTGAGGATTTGATTGCCTGATTAAACGGAAACGGTTTCAAAAAAATATATAAATCGCATAATGTTCTCAGCCAAAAGGTAGTCAGAATTATGAGTAAATCGGTTGCCAATTGTAAATATGTTTCCTAGAGGTAGATTTTCTCATAAGTGTTCCCCCAACTACATTTTGCTTGTCTTTCCATGAATAGCCTAATTACAGTGAGGTGAATGGAGTGGAGATAGCTTGTGAAAATACAACGAACAAATTTCGTCTTATCTACACTTTCACAATATGTGAAAGTGGCATCGATATATGAGTAATATAATTCAAATTGGTTGGCTGCTACGCTTAGATGTGTGTGTCGTCTATTTTAGACATCACAAAGGATAAAATCAAGCAGACTGACAAAAATACCAGTGAAGATTGATACTGCACTAACAGGTATCATGTGGTGTCTGAAAGGCATTCAGCTAAACAACTTTGAAGGTTGAGAAAATACTCACATTCCGCAATTTATAATAAGGCAATCAAGAGGTGAGATTTTCCAGTAATTCATAAGAATGAACATGAACTTCCAGTGTATTGGACTATATCTAGCAACGTCATATAACTAACCCTGAGTAAAAAGTATTAAGACATTGAGACTGAACACCACCAGGCGTTTCCGAACATTACCTAGCGTCGGTGAATGCCATTTATGAGGCTATTTGAGGAGACGGCATGGATTCATCAATTCCTAAGATGCTGATAAAACTGATCAGACACTAATAACTTGTGCGATGTGTTTATTCCTTTCTTTGGTGCAGACTGAATTCTATCAATCAGTTTTGCAATGTGTCCACCATTAGAAGATGGGTCTCCTGCTCATTCACTGAACCATTGCACGACAGTACGTATTTCAATACTCAATAAAACCATCAACATCTGAATGGTTCCTTCACAGCATACCTATGAACTTATGACATGATCAACATTCATTCATGAATAGACGATCAGAAAACTACTCACCAACATTCAAACGATACATCATCACCACCCAAATGAATAAATCTCTCTGGAAATCTTGAAGTGGTTTCATTGAAAAACGATGTGAGAAAATCCATTGTGGTCTGATTTGTAGGATCAAATGGACCAGTTCTTCCATTTGGTAAACCTTCAGTATAACACTGTGTTCGTAATCCAGGATGACCCTTCTCCCATGATCTCGTATGACCTGAAATCAATAATGCAGATAAGGAGTCAGCTTTACCTCACATGCAAATTTTCTGTCTAACTGAGAATTACTGGCAAAGGCCAGAGGATGAGTCGAACATTTCTACTCAGCACATGTAATTCCAAACTACATAACTGAGAAATGTCAAAATTGGAGGATCTTTATAGATGAAATAATCATTGCATAAAAAAGCATTAAACCCATTGATTTGAATGAATTAATGAAAGACTGCCTCATTTAGAGATCAGTGAAGAATCAAGGGATTCCTAATAACATGGATCACTGAATATGAGGCAAGAATCTCAAAGATGATAGATGATACAACACAGAATGGCATGTTGTTCACTTACTCGGAGTATCGAATTCCACCACAACACGTATTCCACGTGAACGAGCATAATTCAGTAAATGGTCAACTTGCACTTTTCCATAGACTAACTCTATTGGATTATAAGCACCCTATGTAGAACGAATAATGATGAGGTGAAACGTAACAAAAGAAAATACCATTTTCGAGAGTTGAGGATCCGTAGATGATCCGTACGGGAATGAACTATCATCTGTGATGTGCCAATGAAATACATTCATTTTCACTAAGGCCATTGCATCCTGAGTGATTGTCAAGTTAAATGAGAGAGAGACAATATGGAAGGCAGACTTACAAGAAAATTCTCCAGCACTTCAACACTGATGAAATGAGCAGCAGTGTTAACTACAAATCCTCTGTGAGTGAACTGGGGTGAATCTTCGATTGTAGATTCGTTTATTACTAACTAGATAAAATAGGTTGACAATACATGAATATTCATGAGGTCATTGACTCACATTCCCTAATTCATTTCTGTGCGCCAATTGTAAGACAGTCTGTAGTGCATGTAATGTTCCCCATACTTCAGTAGATTTGATTTGAATCTTCCCATCCGATATGACAATTTTGTCTTCATTAGTGATTTAGTTATGCAAAAAAGTTGTGAATATACAAATAACCTACATGATTCATTCATCTTCTCACTTGGCCACAAATAACCCCTTGATTCATCACATTCTTCAGTGATAGAAATCGTCATTTTGTCAATACTGCAGGAAGTTCCTTTCTTATGCAGGTGCTGTGATGTTTCCACCAGAAGACGTTTGCTGAACTCTTCCACTGCGTCGGTGAGTATCAAACAATATGAATATGTATGTTCAATTGGTAAATCTTCTTTTAGGCGGCATGTACGTTCACTTTCCGTGTATTTAGTCGGTTTCGGGACTAATGAATTCACAGTGGAATAAGAAAATGCGAGTAATGTAAAGCTGAACAAATGGATAATTGACATGATGTTCAGTCTACAGCTAGTATGGTGTGAAGATTGTTTTCAAGCGTATTTATATATACGTCTTGTTATGTGTGTTTTCGTGTACATGTCTGCATGCGATCTAGTTGTAGGCTTTGTAAAACGCTCTCGTTATTCTTCTTCATGAAGGTGATATGAATTAGCCAATGAGAATATACTATGCAAAGTGAAACATTCTCAGACACACTTTTGTGAGACAGTACGAAATATCAGAATTAAAATTCGATTTAATGAAAGAACATTGAGTTAATACATGATATAGAAATACAGACATCGATTTATAGCAATCAGTGTTTTCTTAAAAGTAGAGTTGTAGACCACTGATAATTGTTATTATTTTTATTATTGTTTGCTTAAGATCCTAAAGGAGTAATGGGGCTTCAACCAAACCTTTTAATTGCATTTGGTTCTCCTACAATGTTCTCACCTAGTTCCATGTCTGCCACATTGTTTAATCTCCTCTTCACAAGGCCTCCTCCACGTCATCCTCACACTGATGGCTCAATTATTGGTGCCCATTCGTGTTCCACTCGAGTGATGGCCTTGCGTGTGATGTCGCTCAGTTTATGATTTATTTTCTCAGAGTATGGCCAATCAACCTGCACTTCTACCTGAATATTTGTTGCACAATCGGTTCCTGCTGGGTTGGTTGGTTCATTGCCAGACATCCCTGTTGCTGATCCCTTCTGGCTGGCCATCTGATCTTGAGTAGTATTGAGCGAAGACAGCTAGCTGTTGATGAAGGTCTGTAGTTTGTTCGAAGTGCCATTCGTGACGCGCTGGCCAAATCTCTGATCCGTACGTATAGTAAGTAGCACTGACCACATTCGAGTTGAAAATCCGGATATTGTTTTTCATGCTGAGTAGTGCTGTTGACCTCCACACAAACTTGAGAGTAATGAAAGCTTGTCTTGTTTTCCCTTGCTTTGATATTCTAATCAGTTCAGCTGGCCTGTCGTTGAAACGATGCTTCCAAGGTAGGTGGGTTGATAAAGGAGATTGCTCCTTTCACATTTCTCCCTTGTATGCTAACTGATTGTTGTCTGTTGTTGTTGCTCTTCCAAGGATACAAATTAATAATTCAACTCACACATCCGGTTCATTGCTGAGACCACATCCACTGTCGGAAGTTCTTCCTGAATAGTGTTAGGATGAGGATTAGATATTCCTGCCAAGTACAAAGAGTTCAAAACAAATATTGTAGTAAGAACTGGTTGGAAGCCAAAATTGTAGACAGCAATTTACGTCAATGTTACATCCTGAATCAAGTTCATGGGAAAAGCAGTAACAAAGCTTAACCTTGAGGAACTCACCAACCAATCACAGCAAACTTAATGTGCGCAAATAGGAATCGCGGATATATGGCTTAACTTCTGAGAAGCGGTCACAAACAGTACCGAATAACCTTCGGCAAGAAAACAACACATCAGAAGACATTGCTTCTCCGCAGACAATAATGTACATAAAATTCTATAAATATCTGTTGATTTTCTCAATAAACGATCTGTTGCCTGGCCCTTGTCTTCTGTCGCTATATTATTAGCAGAGAAAGCGGACAGTTGGAACCAATGAGAAGACGAAGTGACGGACAGCACGTCATATTTCCATTCGTACGCCGAAGTTATTTATATTTTACAATGAAGTAGTTTTAAACAAAAGTTATGTACAATGTCTCCATTTGTAACATCTGACAAAAACTGTGCAATCTTGTTGTTCAGAACTCCACATATTCATATCTCCGTTGAATATGGTTGCATTGCTCCTCCTGGAACACTTCAGTTGTAAGATGTGAAAATTATGTGAGATACTGGATTTATCTTGATTCGTAGAACTACCAAACATTTAGGCCCACTATATAATTAGTAAACAAATAACTGTAAGCGCTTTTCCTTCTCCAATACTGATCAAATGCACCATATTTTGTTTTACACAGGTGACAATTCACTTGGAATCCTCTTTAAAAATACGACGTGCAATAACATCCTTATGTTCCTAGTGGAACATGAGGGATTCAAGCTTGAGCTCTGAAGTTCCGGTAGCATTATTTTATTTTCGCGCAGTAGTGAGGTTCCCAGTCTCACGCCCAACCTTCTCCCTTTACCTGCTTTTCTACAGGCTAAGCCAGGTCTAGGAGTGCGTCAGTCGAGGATTAAACCGCGGACCATATGCGTGATTGACGAGCGTTCTACTCCCGGAAAACAGATGCACATGAATGTGCATTACTTTTAAACATCTCCCTCGGCATAAGTAAGAAAGATGCGCACTGTGTCAAACTGTGGCTTCAAGTGGTTAGTACGTCTGGCACTAAGCATAGCAACACATTGATGTTCAATGCATAACATGTCATCAATGAAATCAAAAGTAATTGAGATACTATGTGATCATTAATAGGAAATATCTCGAATCTCTGAAATCTTCCCAAAACCATCGTAGTGATGGTGTACCTGCTGTTGACCTCAGAAGATGTGCTGATATTTTTATGTCATCCTCTTACAAACAATTTCAATGCTTCTACTTCCAATAATGTTGTAGCCGTTGCATGGAAAGATAATAAAATTATCACAGTGTCTAAATCATTTTCTGGTATGAATGTTAAATTTAGACCTATTGCAATTACCTCTTCTTTTCTGAAATTAGTGGGGAAATTAATTTTACTCAATTTGAACCTTCCTTGAAAAGTTTTAATGATCCCAAACAATTCGCTTATAAACAGGGCAGATGTGCTTTAGACGCCGTTGCTATCTTACAACAAAATACTGTTTCCTTCTTAGACGAAAGGACTAAATATGCCCGATATAACTTCCTTGATTATACTTCTGCTTTTCACTCTGTACCCGGATGTCTTTTGTTAAATAAACTTCCCATGACACAAACCCAGTCCTAGGCTGTTAACAGGTTGCATTCCCATTCATTTGAACAGAAAGCTGTCTACTGTTTACAAAGGTAAATCCTTCTCTGCCTTACTCACTGAAGTTGGAGTCACTCAGGATGCTGTTCTCTCATCTTTTCTTTTTTCTTTCTTCTTACATGACTTAATTATTTCGAGAGAAATCAACTTCGTTACCTACGCTGATGATTTGACTGTTCTAAACTGAGTAGCCTTTTGTAGGATATCAGTCAGTGGTAGGAGTTAAATAGTCTTACCTTAAATCTCACGAAATGTCCACCAATGAACTTCACCTTTAGGCATAAGCGTAGTCAGCAAGAACTGGACCGTTCATAAGATGCACGTAGCGTAGATAGCACTGATATAAGAACTCAGTCAAACATAAAATACCTTGGAGTAGTTCTATCCTCCTACCCTTCTTGGTCATTCCATATCTTGTTGATTTCTAAGAAAATGTTCCGTCTAACCTACTACATTAAGAAGTTAAGACAGTCAGGTAGGTGTCACTGAATTCCTACTTTTACAGTTTGTTAACTCTTCCATCTTACCTACTGCACTTTACTGCTCCACCTCAGTCTTTGCTGGGCTACTCAAAAGGAGTATGATGGCATACTGAGAAGGGTATTAAAGCTTGTCAGTGTGGTAAGTGGTGTGCCACTAAGTCAG